AACCGCGCCACCTGTAACTTATGGCTATGTGGTCAATTTGGGTCCATCGCTGACCAGCTACAGGTGGACGCCAAGTGGCACTTCGGCGCCCACTGTGTCTAAAAGCAGTGCTAGTAAGAAACAACTGGTGCTCCGCACACAGTTGCAGCAGACGCTCGCCGTCGTCAGTCCGTTCGGCGTTAAGTCCATACTTACTACCCAGCTGAGCTTCTGAAGAGCTCAGACGCCCTACTTGTGCGTTCATATCCCCTGCAAGTACTATAATATCTGAACTACTAGCACTGCATAGCAGCGTGTTCAGTTCGTGATAGAAAGTGTCCTTGACTGCATTAGAACTGCAGTCGGTGGGAGCATAAGCAGAAATCACAAACAAACAGCGTTTTGTTTTACTTCGCGAATTCACCTTAGCTGATGTCGTCAAACGGGCTGCACATAAACGGCTGTTCATCGGAATCCAATCAACCAACGATGACTCAGCCTTGCAGCTGAGAATGATACCTACACCAGCTTGACCCGTGAGTGCCGCATCGGCGTCTCCGGATGCGTGCAACCAATAACGAGAGGATAAGCCGGGTGCAGTCAATTCAATAACCCCGTTAGGGTCATTAATCCTAGTTTCGGACACACAACACACATCAACACCCAGTGTGTCCAAGGTGCGTGCGAGTGCAGCCTGCTGACCTGTTTGTCTTAGAGTGCGGACGTTGAATGTCGCCATGGAAACGGGACAGCGTGGCCTTATAAGTAACTTTTGCCGATAGGCGTCCGATAGGTGCTGTGGGATGGTGGCTGCAGATGGTTCTACTCCAGTAGCACTTCGGTTGCTGTCAATTAAGCTGGGAATTATAGAAGGAAGGTTAGTAATGGGGGCCGGGATGGGAGTAAGAGAAAAAGGTGGAAAAGAAAGAAGGGAGGCGCCAGCAGTAGCATGCTTTCGCTTACCCGCCCTGCTGTATGCAGCAGATAATGCGACCCTTGATAATCTGCGCGACGGCCGATGCAGGATGAAGTTTATGTTTGAAGAAAATGTCATGGTTGTATGTGGGCTGGGATACTGCCAGGGCGCCCAGACCTAGACAGGAGAACGATTAGGGTCTTCATCCAAAGCCTTTGTCTCAAAAGCCTGTCCGCAAGGCAGCGGGGTGGCAGTGATTTAATTTTACAGAAATGGACGCCATCCCATTTCAAACCCCAACTTGGAGGACCAGGAGACTGAGTTTGTCTGACCTCTCACCATTGACCAACATGGTAGGAGTAGCTCTCAAGATGCTCGGAGGCATCATCCACTGGTTCTCAAGTCACTTTCAACCATCCTCTCGCCTGTCGTGACTGACCTTTTCAACAGGTCGCTGTCCGAAGGTTTGTTGCCGCTTGACTGGTAATGTTAAGTGGTGAAGCCTATTCCGAAAGGCGGCGACCCTAGCAAAGTAGACAATTAGAGGCCAATTTGTCTGACACCTATTTTGGCAAAGGTTGCTGAGAAAATCGCGAAGAAGGGATTGCTGCAGTTGCTACAGTCAAACGAGGTCTTGACGCCCGCACAGCACGGTTTTATGCCAGGTAGCTCATGCATTACGAACCTGCTTGTGACGAGGCATGAGTGGTTGAACGCAATAAGTAAGGGGAAGTCCGTCGACGTGATATTCATCGATTTCAGTACAGCGTTCGACAAGGTCCGTCATGAGGTTCTCCTTCACAAACTCAGCATGTGTGGTGTCGGTGGCTCACTGCACCGGTGGATCCGCGACTTTCTTGTTGGACGAAAGTGGAGGGTACAGGTCGACGACCATCTAACAGACTGGTACTCCTCTACAAGTGGCGTGCCTCAAGGCACTGTGCTGGGGCGCACCCTGTTCCTGATCCACATCAACGATCTACCGCAGCTTCTCCGGTCGCCATGTGCCTTGTTTGCGGACGACATGAAGATTTGGAGAGAAATCGTCGCTCCCGATGACTGTGGCCTACTTCATCAAGACCTCAACCGCCTATCCACATGGCCTGTAGAAGTTCTCCCGGTCTACCCAGCCAAGTCTGTATTTATGAGCCTGGGGAAGGGTGCTAACAGCCGAACCTACACCCATGACGGCCAAACGCTATATCCCACACCCTCCGTGAAAGACCTAGGTGTACTCTCACTCTACGATTTGAAATCCGTGGACAACATGAACAGACTATATCGTAACGGACTGCGCATGCTTTGGGCGCTCAAACGTAGCTTCGGCACGTGGTCTGAAGAGGTTGCCACTCGCCTCTTCTATCATTAGATCAATGCTAGATTACGGTTCGTCCGTCTACTTTCCGATTACCCGAGGCGAGGCACGAAAGATCCCGAGTTTACGTGGCTTTGGGTATGAAGACCTGTGCGAGAAACTAGGACTCTACACCTTGTCCTACTGTCGGGTGCGAGTCGACCTCATTATGGCCTACCGTATTCTACATCTCCGTGACTTCCCAATGCTAAGGCAAATGCTGCACTTATGAGGGCCATGCAGCACACGCGGACACAGATACAAACTTGTCGTGCCGGATGTGAAATGTGTTCCCCACCCACTGTGTTTCGAACGGAGAGTGGTAAACATTTGGTACAGTTTACCTGAACTGGTGATTGAGGCAACATCTGTGCAACAGTTCAAACCGTTGTTAGATTTGTATTTTGCCACTATTCGATTCAGAGAACGGCTGCACACTTACGATGACATCACATTTGTCAATCCTGAAATATCGTAAGTCAGATATTTTAAATATTACATGAGAACGACAACGATATTCACGGTTGACAACTTTTATAACGTTTTCAACACATTTCGAAAGAGTTGTACAGAATTCATTTTCACTTGCTCTCTAATACAGTATTCAATATATATATATATATATATATATATATATATATATATATATATATATATATATATATATATATATATATATATATGGTTGGCGGCATCCGGTTTCGGATTTGCCTGTCACTGTGGCAAGCCACAGGACGCCTGCGCCTACAGAGGGACCATGGATGGCTTGCGCTGCACCACCCACAGCTCCAACCACACACCCCATATCCAGTGTCAACCCGAAACAATAAGACCGGGAGGCATGCGGATGGGAGCCACGTTTCATCAACGGAGCCGGCCCACACTTCTTCACAGGCAAACACAAGCACACTGTATTTGGGGAATCAAGCGCACACAAGGCGGTGGCTGGACCGTAGTCCGCTCCATACTGAGTGCATGGAACCACTCTTCGAGCCTAACACGGCCACAAGGACCGCGCACCCCATCCCCTCCAGCAACGACCAACTGTCTCCTGGAGCCAGTATGGACGAGGTAGTGGGTAATAGACAGGTAGGCACCTTGTCAACATGCACTGCAAGCGCAGCCACCCCGGGGATATCAAACAACAGCCAAACACTTGAGAGAGAGAGAGAAAGAAAAAGAGAAAAACTCGATTAATGCATAAGGAAACGGTGACAAAAACCTTAATTAAATAGCATACGTAATAAGTTGTTTACAAACAAATCCTAGCTAAGTGCACGAGGTCAGGAAGTATAGTTCACGGAATGCCACGAACATAAAAATGTTATGGAAATCGAATACAATTGGCTGAAGCGATGTGTGCAAGTTAGTGGAATAGAGTACAGGGAGATATTTATATGAGAAAGAAAAGCATTAAGGTAAAAACTGTAAACCCACCACCTGAAATAAAGAGACTTAGCATGCAAGCACGCGGTTAGTAAATCGAATTCAGCGTGCCTACAAACGCTGCGCCGGCTCGCCGTAACTCTCTGCAGGACCCGTCGTCGCTTCTGTAGTGGCCCCAAAGGACCTAGCTCATGGCCCACTAGACATTTATATATATATATATATATATATATATATATATATATATATATATATATATATATATATATATTTATATATATACATATACATATATATATGTATATATCGGTGGGGATATACCAGACAGCATCCATGGGAATCGAAATTGTCACAATCGGATGTGCTGGGTATTTGAATTGGAAACAAATTGCTCTGCCCAGCGACCGAAGCGCCTGTGTAGGTTGGTGCTTTTCAGCTTGTCTGACTTACAGGTTGTCTGACTGATAGCGTGTGAATTGCGACTAATGGCCTTGATGACGCAAAACAAACCACTGTAATTTCCAGCCGATACAGCAGCTTCCATCTCACCACCTGATTTTGACCACCAGGGTTCACGGTCAGAGTAAACATCCGATTTCGGCTGTTGATAGACAGGCCGACCGAGTTCATTGTACTCCGCACCGGTGGGCACAACCAGTCGACGATTTAGCAGTTCCAAGGATTTTGCTGAGATCCAGCTTTTGGATGTGCGACAGGTGAGGACGCAGATGGACATGGCTTGTTGCAAATTTGCCCAGTGTTGGTGGACATCTAGAGTAGTAGGAGAGCGAGATTTTCACTAAGCCTCTATTGATACTGCTTTCTTACCACCGGGTTCTCCAACTTGAAGGTGTTCAGTCAAGTTTGTTTGGCTTTAGGCGAGCTCCCGCAACGCATGCAAACTGTTGCACAAACCAATGCATAACCGTTTTTAACGCAAGTTGACTAAACTGATCTTCAATCGCTTGAACCTGCTGCATTGTTACAGCTGTCTGACAACTGAATTTGATTGCAAACAACTTGATCTTCGGATGAATATTGGACCTCATCTGACATGCATTTTGCATTTACGACTACAAGCACTGCTACTCCTTTGAGATTTCGCTTGAACCTTGTTTTGCTATTCATTTTGAGTTTGCTGTTTACAATAACCTCAGTGTTCTTGTTTGTTGTGCCAGATGTTTTCTCACTTCGTCCTTTGATTGCCATAGTTTCTACTAGTCTTCGCTGCTATTGACTTTACACAGCTTTCACTGAAAGCAGGTATTTGTGGCGTTGCCAGTCATGATTGCTTTTTTTTCCATCTTTCAGGTTGTTTGCACTTCCGCGATACTACCGTCTTTTTCGGTAGTTCACTAATTACAGTCATGAGTTTATGGAGGCTCTACCTTTTGAGGTCAGTCTCTATATTCGTTTTCCTCCAACGTATACATTTAACAGGTTTTAGAATGTATATTCAACTTTCTTCCGCTTTCCGATCAAAAGTCTGCTTCACTAACTTGTCGCAAGTTTTATGCAGTGGCTACTCAACCAAAGTTTCTATCGAGACGCCGTTTTGTGCTCCGAGAGCCGATCGATCAGATCCAGTTTCTTTTCACTTCTCATGGAGTACTTGAAAGCCATTGCTGCTGCTTTGCACCCGGTTGTTACTTATGCGACGTTTCTAATACACACGGTGACGCTCCTGCAAAATCTGTGAACACACCGCATTGGGCCCAGTTTATTAGCCGTTTGTCGCTTGTTGATACTCAGATAACGGCTCCAGATTTATTCAGGCTACTTGGCCACTGCACTCAACTACAAAGTCTTGATCTTTCGGGATGCAGTTCTATATTCCACGACGGTGCTCAAGATTTTGTTGTTTCACCCACACGTAATGTGAGCACCTTACGAGGAAGTGTTGGGCGAAGTCTGCGTCATCTGTCGCTAGCTCATGTGACGAGTGTTACTGATGTTTATTTCCAACAGCTAATGTCTCTTTTCCCTCGAATCGAAGATATCGATCTAAGCGGATGCCCTATTAATTTTTCTCATCTTCCACTTTTGACCTCGAGTTCTTCATGTACATATCTTTCTTTCGGAACTCTTCTAAACGAGCTCATTGTTTTGTTTCGGGACCAGGCTTTTGTTTCCAACAGAGCTATCACTCTGCGCCTGAACTCTACGGAACTTGATGATAGCGCTTTGGGTGAGCTAGCCGCGGCTGACAGCGTCCGATTCAGGGGAATATACATAGACAACTGCCACAAGGTTACCGATGACGGCGTATTTAACTTCACGCATTATCAAGCGTCTTTTGGTTGTTTACAAGAATTTTCATTTTCATTTCCTGGTCCCGATATAACCTCGAAGTCCTTGATTAGAATCCTTAAGTGTTTTTCCCCTACTCTTACTTATCTCTGTCTCTCCAGGTGGCCAACCTCTGATTATTTGTCTTCCGCGTTCTCTTGTTGTCATAATCTTGAACATCTCGATTTGTCTTCTTGTTACGTTTATTCACAATTCCGCCTGAATGGACTGTGGCGACATTTCCATTGCCTTACTAGTCTCAATCTCTCTGCTCGACCCGATCTCACTGATGCGGATATTTTGGCATTATGTACTCAATTGAGCAATCGTATTAAGTTTTTGGATGTTAGTTTTTGTACCAGCTTAACGGACTTGGCTCTGGAAGCCATATGCTCAGGTTTTTCCGAAAGTTTACAAGTGTTGATAGCGAACTGGTGCAAGGGATTTTCGGATAATGGAATGCTGGGGCGATTGAACACGACCGAAGCACAGTTCACTGGGATTTCGTCACTTCATCGACTGGAGCAACTCAACTTATGCGACTGCCCGCAGATAACAGGCTGTTGCTTCTGGGATGCTCACAGGCTTTTTGACCGTTCTTCCCACAACTTGACTTCACTACGGTTGGGCCGAGTCAGCGCACTTGAAAATCGAGCTGTTCTCTCTCTGATCGACGCGGCGCCATCACTTCGTGTTCTTGATATCTCTCGGGCAGAAATCGATGACGACACGTTGGATCGCGTCGCATTTAAGCTCTCTATGCATCTGCGTCAACTCCATTTGGCCGGATGTGAACAGTTAACTGACGTTTCATTGCGGTCTTTGGCTTTCCGAATTCCCTCGTTACAATTATTGGATGTGTCTTTTTGTCCACGCATATCTCGGAATGCATTATCAGAGTTCCACAAATGTATGCCTCGTTTGAGGGAGTTAAATGCATTATACACAGGCGCCATGTCTCTAACAACTGTTCGGTGATTTTTATTTTTTGCAACTTCATGCGGATTTTATTACCGTTCTTTTGCAATTTTTCCTCTTGTCACCATACTGACAAATCATCTTCCCATTCCTACTTGGACTCAAGCGCCCCCATCCGATACCGCCCATCGCGTTTTGCGTTTCTTTGTTACAACTTCATAGCGCCAGAAAAATACTCTGTGATTTCCCCGTTTTGTGTATGCCCTTCGAAACGTTACATGCGGTTAACTTCAATACATTTTTGCTCTTTTTCTAATTTGTTTTCTCTGCAATCTGTCCAGTTTCGTTTAGTTATAAAACTACTATCTGGGCACCGAAGTGCAGCGGACACAGTTGCTATGGCTCCTATTGCTGGGGTAACGGTAACTGTAGTGGCAAACAGAACTTAGAGACGTGTCATAAAAGTGAGACAACTAATTGGGACTGAAGTTAACGGCTAGATACAAGAAACAGAACGCAGGGGTGCTACTGATTCCGCGACTGCATCATCTCCAGTAATCATCATCATCTTCATCGACAGCAGTACATCATCCATCCTGCACGGACACTTCACGGTCATCTAGGAAATGAAGAATAATAAGAGGGGGAGAAGGGGAACACTGTGTTAAACTTAAACACCCCAAGCCAGCAGTCAGGGTCAATTTGCTTACACATTCTTAATCTCATACAATCGAAATCAGCTGGATGTCGTGCTAAGATAAGGTGGCGTCAGCGAAACATTCTCTACGGCTCTCACTGTCTGGAGTCATTCTTATCCAGCAGCAACACCAGCCACACTTTAAACATGCAGTCCGATTTGGAGATGACAGTAGACGCGCTACCGATGCCGACTACCAGCCATGTGCAATGAAGCAGTAACCTAGACACAACGCGAGCTACGCGGACTCCATCCAGGAGGCCAAGACGGACCAACGGCACGCAAGTGGTTATCAGTGGCCAAATATCCCACTACCGACTCAGTCTTTTTGACATCGAGGCTTATACCATCCTGCACCCGGCAAACAAAACAAAACGCTCCTCTTATGAGTTCTCCTGTTGCTGATATTGACCATCCCGAGGACCCCATTTATGCCGCCTGGAAAGTGCTACAGTCAACCTGTTCATACATTTGTACGACGTCACCAACTGACCACTTCGCGCTTTCAGCAAGTTAAATGCTGCGATAACATGTAATGCACACCGAGTTAAGCAGTCAAGCGGCATACAGAGAACATGACTTGGTTCTTTTTTCACAAACATCCCGTTGAGGCAACAGAAAGTTTCTTACCAAAAATTAGCTGGCATTTCTCGGTGTTGCTTACCCGGTGTTTCCGCCAGATCGGAGCAATACACCGCATGCACCAGTGATGAAAAACTGCTTATCATCTAATGTCTTCTCTGAGAAGGGGTCAGGTCTTTTACTTGTACAGTAATACTGGTCTTATTTCTGCAACGACACCCAAATTTTTCCGACTGGCTGATATCCCGCATGGCAGAGAATGGTGAGAACTAAGTCACTTGTGGCCATTTCGGTTACAAAGATATAGGACACCCCTGCTGAATTGTCACCAGGCACATTGTGCTATGAACGTAGCTTTACCACATTCAGAGGTTCACGTTCCGTCTGACCGTGCTAATGCTGTTTTGATGATACCTACTTTATCTGACACACCTAGCGTCCTGAAGCAAATGTTGAGGTGCTTGACTGTGTCCTGCTCTGCTCTAAATCGTTCGACACAACTGATATCTATTGCTTTAGATACAGAAGCAGATGTTGGTAGATCATTTTGTTCAATTGATGATCCGACTTTTCGCTGGGCTTAACAGTTTTGTTGCAAATGCTTCGTCATCAATTGCGCTGACGTCATCAGGGCGTTGTTGTGTAGCGGGACAGAGTGTGATACCATCACTCAGCGTAGCATACACTGATGATGTCATCCCGATTGGGGACGAAACGTCAGCAATTAAGCCGCGAAACCTAGCTAACTGTCTTGTCACACCTGTTGATTGCCCATCTGCCACCGACGTGTTCTTATCGGTTTTGAAGTCGGAACTCTGCTGTGCAGTTGTGCGAGGCATCACCAAATTGCCGTATGTATAGCCGCATGATTACCATTCTGTTTGTTTGGCCAGCCTGCTGCGGCATTTTCCGCGTGTTCACACTTCGTGGGAGATCCGCGTGAGCAATGTACCACATGTCTGTCAGGCAGAGTTTGGCAACAGTCCATCCGTGTGGTGTCTCATGGGTGTGCCTGTTGAACTCGAGTAGCCTTCGTTGATTCGGTCATGTGCTCCGCATGTTTACCACCCGACTACCTCGGCGTGTATTGTGCCTCACTACGATGTGTCTAGTTGAATGCAAGCCATGCTGATCAGTCAATGGCATGACAAAATGCCATGAAGGAGCTTGCCGAAAGACCGAGTCCGGTTGGTGATTGTCGCCTCGAGACCGACCAAGATGCGTTCACGGGGTCAGTGGCGCAATTGTATTTATTCCCTCATCTAGGATTTGTCTATTCACACCATTTATTTCATCACTTGTCTATTTCTCCTATTATTATTATTATTATTGTTATTATTATTATTATTGTTATTATTATTATTTTGTCGACGCGCCAAGATAACGCCCACCGCATCATGATACACGGACCCTAGTTGATAAACTAAACTAGTCAGTCATGCATAAATAAATTGCTTTTATCGACATTACGAGCCACGCCTCGTACTACTAACACGAATGATCGGTAATTGTACAGATATGTTACAAGTTAACCAGTTGCAAACTAGATTCATGTCTATTTGTAGGTATGGGTGTATGTTGCTATGTTGTTACGATAACGCTGTATGGTGTGTGTGAGTCACCAGTGCAAGAAGGGACCACAGGGGCTTCTTGAACTAGATGGCTGATGTCTGTTTAGAGGCGGTGACTTTATTTAGTGGGGAATCATATCCGCCACATCGCAGTGTTGTTCTCCTAGCTGAGCACTTGAGCTGCAATTGTTTCGTCATCAGTCGAGGTGACATTGTCAGTGCCTCACTGATTAGCGTACAAACTCGTTTCTTAGTAGTACCGCTTTTAGACACATTGGGCGCCAATGCCATTTGGCATCCTCCTGTAGCTGATCAACGATGGCCCGAAATAGATCACGGACATCTGTGGATTTTTTTAAGGTTAACATTTATCAGGCGGAAACCCTTTACGTGTGAAACTGCCGCCGAAATATTCGCTGGGAGGCAATTAGCACGAATCATCCAGCTGGTACTACGGGAAGGTTGTTCAGCGAGCCGCTTGGTAGTGTTCATTTTTGCACATGCTACTCATCATTGTGCTGGCCCCCGGCTGTTTGTGACTGCATTCTGCACATTCATTTTGGTTCAGACAGGCAACTATGATCCAATCACGGACATTCGGTAGATGTAGTCACCGCGACCCGCACCACTGTAATGTTCCTCGAATTCCAAAAGCACAGGATATTGATATTCAACCTTTTTGCTTTTTCTCATTTCATTTCCCGTTTTAACCTTTTGTCGTTGGACAACCGTGTACAATGCGCCTACTCACCACCAAACTGGATATTGATGATTACCCTTTGGGTTCGGGATTCAATCACTATGCGGAATTCAGGCGCATTCTAACCGACCTTTTGGACTGTGCGGTCCTAGCTGCTGTTAGACAACTTGACAGTGCTTGTGTTTCTGGCGCCGCTTATGTGGTTGAAAACCCGCGTCCGATGGTGAAGCATTGAGGGAAGCCGGGCTGATGGCTTCCGCCCGATCGCGTGTTTGTAACGGCCAGATCTACATTACTCATTTGCAATCGGTTCATCACATTCTTAACGATGAAGATGTTATTCTCACTTTGCCTTTGCTGAGAACTTTACGAGTTAAGGTGGTTGGCCTTCATGTGTGACGTTGACGTCCTTGTCTGCCCGTCCTGCAAACTATGTAAATTATGCATGCTGATCATGCGAAGTCAGCCACAAACGGAGGCATTATTGGCTTCAGAAAACTGTCTTAATGTCACCGTTTCATCTCTACACATATCTAGGGTTTGTACAATTTGTCTTTAGCGATCTGTGACGTAAACCGATTTGCCAAATTTCGAGTCGTTTCTGTAATAAAAACTATTGTAACCAACTGAATAGACCAGCTATTGTTTTTTCAGGTGCAAGCTTTAACACTTCTTGACGGAGTACTAGGCAGTGTACACATCATCCCCCAACTTGCATTTGCCATCCGTATCAATTCCTGCCATCATTAACCTCAGGACTTGGAGTACTTGACTACTTATTATGTGATTATGACTCATCATAAAATTAACACTGTATCGCCTTTGCTACTGCTACCGTTTTCATTGATACAGATGTTTGCTGAGGCCAACATTGTCGTCCTCCCCAAGCCAAATGCCATCCAAATCCTGAATTATATATTCCTTTCTGCCGGAACCTGAATTGTGTAGTCAACGTTTCCCCAACAAACTGCATTGTTCTATGTGTTTCGATTGCACTGCTCGAACTAATTCCGTCGAGTGCAATGCATGAACCGGTGTCGCATGCTGACCGGTTTGATATCGAATATGGACGTTGGAACACCATATGTTAACTGATCCCCTGCTTTGAAAGCTGATTTAAGTACGCTAATAGTGCAAGTTGCGAAGTCTGGAGCTACCTTTTGCTTTTCATCACATAAATAGATAGAACTAGAAAGATATTCATCAAAAGAACTTTGTTGATTAAATTTCGTGTTAGTAACACACCGATTGCTCAGCCGGCTGCAGCTTGGGAGTGCAAGTACTGACCGTGCTTGAGGCAAGTTGCTCACAACATTGGTGTCTTCAGAACACACACGATGCTACGCCTGAGGCAACAATAGTCTGCAAATCATTTGGTGGACTTGTGCATTGTCAGGCTTCCGATCAGGAGTAAGCGAGACAATCTGCGATGGTGATGGCTCCCTAATCACTAATCTTCAACCACATTTGGGGCAATGGGCCGAACATTTTCACTCGCAGTTTCCCTGGC